CTTATCCCGCTTCTTCTGCTGCTGCTGCTGCTCGCTCCCTCCTGCTGAGGCTGCTCCTCAATGTTGCTGCTGCTTGTGCTGCTGCTGCTCGTTTTGGTGCTTCAGCTGCTCCCCCTCCTCCTCCTGCTCCTCCCGCGCGCCCTTCGCATTTGCAGGCTCGAGCCGGGAAGACGCGCTCGCGGCGCCTTTGCCATGATGAGTCGCCGCGGCGGCCAGCAGCAGAACGCTGCCTCTGGCGCGTTGGACCGAGTGGCGTCGGTAGCCGAGTCCTGGAGGATCTGGCGAGTTGGGCATCCCATCCGAGCTGTTGGCGGGGTTACTTTCACGCAGGCTCCTCGGCCAGGGACGAGCGGCCAGAGGCCGTGGTTCGCGTGCACCAGTATCGACAATGACAGGGTTGTCCAAGAATGGTGGCTTCCGCCGTTCCTCGTGCCCACTGCAGAGGTGGCCCGAGTGGCCGGTCGCCTCAGTGGCAAAGCGGTGGCGTTGCCCCAGTGCTCCGCTGCCTCTGGCGCGGCTGGGGGGGCCGCGCATGCACTACACGAACATCCACAGGATCTGGGGTTTGGCCGCCACCCACCCCATGGTCATTACGTCGGCAAAATACAAAGCAGAGAAAGAACGCTACCCATCTGAGTTTGATCAGTTCGGTCGCGCGGTCAAATGCCACCAGAACCCAGTTGACCTGATCCTGTCGGCGTCGGCTCTTGCGGAGATGCTCTTCGGGTGCTCCGTGAACGATGCCGCCAAAAAGGTGGCTGAACACACTTCTGGGCTGCTCTGTTTGTGGTGGAGACCTGCTCCTAAAAGGAAGCTCTCGTGGGGGCAAGAGGACGTGGCGCGGTCAGTCCTTTTCGACTTGGTCGAAGCCGCCCACTGCGTGCCCGACATGCACGCAGTGGATTATAACGCTCTTTCTGGCGTCTCCGCTGCCTCTGGCGCGTCCGCTGCCTCCGGCGCGTCCGCTGCCCCTGGCGCGTCCGCCGCTCCTGCTGCTGCAGCTGCTGCGGCTGCTGCTCCTGCGCCAGCTCCTGCGCCAGCTTCTGCGCCAGCTCCTGCGCCGCGACCGCCGCCTCCCCCGGCGAAGGTTCCTGCGCCAGCCAGCGTGAGCGGCGGCGGCCGCGCCGCTACTCCACTGCCACCAGGGCAAGTCTTTCCGCGGCCTGCGCCGCTGGAGTTGCGGCCGCAGCCGGCGTCAAAGGATAATGCGAAGGGGGCGCCGCTTCTTCCGCTGCATGAGGAGGCGGCGACGCCGCCTGCCACGCTTTCAAAGAAGAGCAACACCGCTGCGTCCGGCGCGCGTGAAAAAAAAAGCCGCCCGCTGCTTTGGTTGCGCATGCATGGGTGAGGGCTAGCTCGCCGCCGCCGCCGCCGGCCGCCAGCTGGCCAGCAGATTCGGCGACAACGACGCGGGCTCAGTTGCGGCCGCCGCCGCCGCGCCATCCCCCCCGAGACGTGCCAGGGCCGACGCCGCCAGGGCGGCTTCCCCTGACTCCCGCGCCTGCTCCTGCCGCCGAGCCGCTCCTGCCTGCCTCTGGCGGCTGTGCGATCGCGGCGCCTCCGCCTGCCGTGGCGCCTTCTCGGGCTCCTGAGCTGGGCAGCTCGTCTTCGGACGAGGGCGTCGACGGCGACGCAAGCGAGGAGACCGTCACGACAAAGCGACGGGGGAGACCTTCGAACCCCCCGAAGAGCGGCGGGGCAGGATGCGTTCCAGAAGCATGCAGAGACCGACCGAGCAGGATGTTGTTTCCTGTAGCTCATCAGGGGACGAGCGGGAGGATGCTGTCTCTGGCGCACCCGAGTATGCTGTCTCTGGCGCAACAGAGGAAGTGAGCCTAACGACTCGTCTCTCTGTGAGGAAGCTCAGACGATTGCCCGACGAACGCAAGGCCGAGCTTCGCAGCGTCGCCCGAAAGTGTGCCAGGCAGCAGCACTTCGTCGACAACAAAGAGCGCTGGGCTAGCGACGCCCAAGCTCTTGTCCGAGATTGGCAAATGCCGCAGCTCGAGGACAGAAACGCCCGGCGCATGCAGAGCCAGCTCGACATGCGGTGCGACCCGCCCCCTTACATTGAGGGATTTTCTCGAAGGCATCCCCCGCAAAAACGACAGCCCAGATAACGCAGGGCAGCTGTGGCCCGTCGTGCGCGCTTGCCTCCAAGAAGCAACACTACAAGCGGCAGCTGTCGGAGGAGCTGCGGGGCCTTGACGCTGTCTCTGACGCGCCCCTCGCCGAGGCATGCCCGAATGCCGTGCTCGGCGACGGGCGGGCGTCGCTGGCGCCAGACGCTTTCGAGGCATCGAAGCGCAATGCAGGGATTCAGGGCGACGAGGCCTACGTCAAGCACCTCCTCGAAAAGCACAGCGGCGAGGCGCGGCACTGGGGGGGCCCGGGTGAAGGGATGTGCCTTCTGAACTCGTGGACACTCTCTGCCGCGTCAGGTTCTGGCACCACCAGCACGCCCAGAGTTAAAAGTCGTGTGATTACCTGGCCCAGAAGAACGCTGACAGGGGTACGGAATTCCTGGAACTGGCGGAGATGAAGCGGATCCTGGCTCTAGATGGTGGCGAGACCGCGCTTCTGAGTTGCGTCGAAGACGACTCTGCCTCTGGCGAGACGTGTTTCATCAGGACTGGGCAACTTGTGACTCTGGCGGAGATGTTCAGCTACGGGTGCCGCCTTTGCTCATGCCACTTCCTGCGCGCGCTGTTCCTCCGACGACCGATATTCGCGACGAGGAAGGGGCGCAGCGAGTCGCGCGCGGGGGAGGCTACTCTCAAGAAGAATGCTCGGCGCCTGCGCCAGCTGGAGACAGGGCGCTACGACCTGCCCCGGCGCCGAAGGTGAGGGCGTGGCACTGCTGAGTAGCTGCCTCTGGCGCTTCTTTCCTTGCAGAACCCTCTGAAGAGCTGCCTCTGGCGCTTGCGGACTATTGCGCGCAGCGCGTCGCTGCTTTCGCGGCTGCCCGTCGGCCTGCGCACGAGCAACATCGTCGTCATCGCCGACGTCGCCCTCAGTGTCGCCATCAGCCCCCGCATCCTTGTGCTCTCTGTGCATGGATCTCTCTGTGTCCTTTTCGTTCTCTTGTTTTCTATTCTCTTCATATTCTTGGATACCAGCGGATAAACAGGACCCGACCAGGGGAAAACTAGAGCTAGCAGGGAACAAGTAGACCCGACCAGGGAAAAACTAGACCCGACCACAGGGAAAATTCTGGGGAAACGTAGACCCGACCAGGGAAAAAGTAGACCCGACCAGAGAAAAACGAGACCCGACCAAGTGAAAAACTAGACCCGACCAGGGGAAAAGTAGACCTGGCCAAGGGAAAACTAGACCCGACCAGAAAAAAACTAGACCGGATCAAAGGAAACACCAGATCCGACCAGGGGAAAATTTGACCCGACCAGGGAAAAACTACACCCGACCGGAGGAAAACCTAGACCCGACCAGGGGAAAATAGACGCGACCATGGAAAAACTAGACCCGACCAGGGATCAACTAGACCTGACCACAGGGACAATTAGAACCGACCAGGGAAAACCAAACCCGACCAGGGAAAAACTAGACCCGAGCAGAGAATAACTAGACCCGACCAGAGGAACATCTAGACCCGACCAGGGGAAAAGTATACCCGACCAGAGAAAAACCATACCCGACCAGAGAAAACTAAACCGAATCAAAGGAAAAACCATATCCTACCAGGGGAATGTCAGACCCGACCAGAGGAAAAACTAGACCCGACCAGAGAAAAACTAGACCGGATCGAAGATGAATAACAGCAGACCGGGGGAAAACTATACCCGACCATGGGAAAACTACACCCGACCATGTTAAAACTATGACCGACCACCGGGAAAATTAGACCCGATCAGAGGAAAACCTGACCCGACCAGGGAAAAGCGACATCCGACCAGGGAAAAACTAGACCCAGCCAGGGAAAAAGTACACCCGACCAGGGCAAAACTAGATCCGAGCAGAGAAAAACCAGACCGGGATCAAAACAAAAACTAGACCCGACCAGGGGAAAACTAGATCCGACCAGAGGAAAACTAGACCAGACCAGGGGAAACAAAGACCCGACCAAAGAAAAACTAGACCCGACCAGTGGAAAATTAGACCCGACCAAAAACTAGAGCCGACCAGGGAAAAACTACACCAGACCATCGGAAAAGTAGACCCGACCAGGGGAAAACTTTACCAGACCAGGCAACAACTATACCCGACCAGACAAAAACCAGACCCGACCACAGGAAAAACTAGAGCCAACCAAGGGAAAACTAGACCCGACCAGGGAAAAGCAAGATCGACCAGAGAAAAACTATACCGAACCAAAGGAAAAACCAGACCCGACCAGGGGAAAAGTAGACCCGACCAGAGGGAAACTAAACCAGAGCAGGGAATAAGTAGACCCGACCAGAGGAAAACCATACCCGACCAGGGGAAAATTCGACCCGGCCAAGGAAAACGTAGACCCACCAAAGGGATCAACAAACCCGACCAGGGGAAAACTAGACCCGACCAGGGAGACAGTAGATCCGACCAGGGGAAAACTAGGCCCGACCACATGAAAAAAATAGACCCGACCAGGGGAACAATAGACCCGACCAGGGAAAAACTAGACCAAAGGAAAAACTAAACCCGACCAGGGGAAAACTAGATCCGATCAGGGGAAAACTAGACCCGACCTGAAGAAGAAGAAAAGAAAAAAAAAAAAAAAAAAAAAAAAAAAAAAAAAAAAAAAAAAAAAAAAAAAAAAAAAAAAAAAAAAAAAAAAAAAAAAAAAAAAAAAAAAAAAAACGACCAGGGAAACATTAGACCCGACCACAGGGAAAACTAGACCCGACCAGGGGAAAACTAGACCCGACCAGGGAAGAACTAGACCCGACCAGAGAAGAACTACACCCGACCCGTAGCCACGATTGGTTCGAACGTTCAGTTGCGACTCAGCCTTTGCTTTCACTAGCGGCGGCGCCGCAGTCCTTGCTTTCGCCAGCGCCAGGATGGCGCCCTTCCACGCTGGCTGGAAGGCCATCGACGCGGTGTCCATGGAGGTCGACGGCGCCAAGGTTTCGGTCGACGTCAGTGCCGACGATGATGCCGCTGCGGGTGAACTGCAACGAGCCAGACAACAACGTCGCCGTGCCCATCATGGCTTACAAGATCCACCATCTGCCGTTTGGGCCGAAGGCTGTGGCGCTGCTCAAGCTGCTCCACAGCTATCCGAAGCTCGCCGCCGCGGTCGTCATCCACGAGCGCAATCGCATGAAGGTGGTGAACAAGAAGAAGACCGACAGCGAGAGGAGGCTCCTCAGGGCCAAGGCCGTTGCCAAGGTAAAGGCGGAGGAGGCGAAGGCCCTTATAGGACCAAGGCGCAGAGTTCATCTAGTGGTGGTGCCGCCTGCGTGGGAAAAACTAGACCCGACCAAAGGAAAAACTGACCAGGGGAAAATTAGACCCGACCATGGAAAAAGTATATCCGACCAGGGGAAAACTAGGCCCGACCACAGGAAAGAACTAGACCCGACCAGGGGAAAAATAGACCCGACCAGGGGAAAACTAGACCAGACCAGAGACAAAGTAGACCGGACCAAAGGAAAAACTAGACCCGACCAAGGGAAAACGAGACCCGACCAGAAGAAAATCATACCCGACCAGGGAAAACTAGATCCGACCAAGGGAAAAACTAGACCCGACCAGGGGAAAACTAGACCCGACCTGGGGGAAAAAAATAAAAAAAAAAAAAAAAAAAAAAAAGACCCGACCAGGGAAACACTAGACCCGACCGCAGGGAAAACTAGACCCGACCAACGGACAACTAGATCCGGCCAGGGAAGAACTAGACCCGACCAGAGAAGAACTAGACCCGACCCGTAGCCACGATTGGCTCGAACGTTCAGTTGCGACTCAGCCTTTGCTTTCATTAGCGGCGGCGCCGCAGTCCTTGCTTTCACCAGCGCAAGGATGGCACCCTTCCACGCTGGCTGGGAGGTCATCGACGCGGTGTCCATGGTGCTCCGCCTCCGCGCAAAACAGCTGCAGCCTTCGCGAGAGTGGGAGCGAGCGCGCAGCACGTGTTCCAGGCGCATTGACTTGCCCTTCGCCATGGATGCGTGGCTCCGCCGCGGCACCGCTCTCTCTGGCGTCACCGCTGCCTCTGGCGCGTCCGCTGCCTCTGGCGCGTCCGCTGCCTCTGGCGCGTCCGCTGCTTCTGACGCCGACGACGCTGACGCCGACGACCTGCGTTTCAGCCTCACCTGCGCCGCGCGCGGCATGTCGCGCATTGTATACAACACAACGGACCAGCAGCGCGTCGTCAAGCTAGCCGAGCGCGGAGAGCAGGTGCGGTCGAGTGAACGCGAGGCCGAGATGTCGGTGGTCCTGCGGGAGCTGGCGCCGGCCGTCCTCCACTGCGGCGCCGCTGCGCTCCACGGGCCCAGCGGCGGCGTCAGGCACTTGCGCTTCCTCATGGTCAACAGGGTCATGCCGTTGGATGGGCACGTGGGTTGCTGCGCGACGACAGCCAGGGCAAGTGGCGCGTCTTCCTCCTGGCGGTGCGGACCTTCGCCGAGGCTGCTGGGCGTTGTGTCTACATCTCCGACCTGAAGCTGGATAACTTGGCTTGAGATTCCGAAGAAGAGCGCGTTCTCTTCCTGGACGCGGGCACCTTCCGCCTGACGGGAACGCGGAAATTTCCGAGAAAGAAGCAGCTACAGAGCTTCTTGGACGCAGCCGAGACTTGTCTTGACTGCCAGACGCTGCTGGAGCTCCACGACCTGCTGTGGCACGGGGGGGACCCTGACATTGTGACGCGTCGGCTTGCCGATGCGCTGAGCCGCGGCTTTCGGCTCGGCTCGGCGCCCGCCCACCTGCTGAACCCGTGGGCGCCGCCCTCGCTCCCCGCGGCGGACGAGGACCTGCGCGATGAGGCTGTGTCTGAACACACTTCTGAGCTACTCGGCTTGTGGTGGAGACCTGCTGCTAGAAGCTCTCGAGGGAGCAAGAGGATGTGGCGCGGTCCGTCTTTGTCGACTCGGTCGAAGCCGCCCACCGCGTGCTCGAAATGCACGCCGCGGAGTATAACGCTCTCTCTGGCGTCTCCGCTGCCTCTGGCGCGTCCGCTGCCTCTGGCGCGTCCGCCGCTCCTGCTGCTGCAGCTGCTGCGGCCGCTGCTCCTGCGCCAGCTCCTGCGCCAGCTCCTGCGCCACTCCCGCCGCCTGCTCCTGCGCCAGCTCCTGCGCCAGCCAGCGCGAGCGGCGGCGGCCGCGCCGCTACTCCACCAGGACCAGTCACGCCGCGGCCTGCGCCGCTGGAGTGGCGGCCGCAGGCGGCGCCAAAGGATGATGCGAAGGCGGCGCCGCTTCTTCCGCTGCGTGAGAAGGCGGCGCCGCCGCCTGGCGCGACTGCAAAGAAGAACAGCACCGCTGCCTCTGGCGTGCGTGGAGAAAAGCCATCCGCTGTTTTGGTTACGCATGCGTGGGTGGGGGCCAGCTCGCCGCCGCGGCCGCCAGCTGGCCAGCAGATTCGGCGACGACGTGGCGGGCTCAGTTGCCGCCGCCGCCGCCGCGCCACCCCCCCCGAGACGTGCCAGAGCCGACGCCGCCAGGGCAGCTTTTCCTGACCCCCGCGCTTGCCCCTGCCGCCGAGCCGCCCCTGCTTGCCTCAGGCGGCTGTGCGATCGCGGCGCCTCCGCCTGCCTTGGCCAGTGCGATCGCGGCGCCTCCACCCGCTGCAACAGGGAGCGCGCGTCCGCCTCCTGAGGAGGCGGACGCGCTGGAGGCTCCAGCTCCTGACCTGGCCAGCTCGTCTCCCGACGAGGGCGCCGGCGGCGACGCAAGCGGCGAGGGGACCGTCACGACGATGCGACGGGGGAGACAACTCGAGCCCCCCGAAGAGCGGCGGGGCAGGATGCGTTCCAGAAGCATGCAGAGACCGACCGAGCAGGATGTTGCTTCCTGTTGCTCATCAGAAGACGAGCGGGAGGATGCTGCCTCTGGCGCGCCCGAGTATGCTGTCTCTGGCGCAACAGAGGAAGTGAGCCTGACGACTCGTCTCTCTGAGAGGAAGCGCAGACGATTGCCCGACGAACGCAAGGCCGAGCTTCGCAGCGTCGCCCGAACGTGTGCCAGGCAGCAGCACTTCGTCGACAACAAGCAGCGTTGGGAAGCCGACGCCCAAGCTCTTGTCCGAGATTGGCAAATGCCGCAGCTCGAGGACAGAAACGCCTGGCGCATGCAGAGCAAGCTCGACATGTGGTGTGACCCGCCCCCTACATTGAGGGACTTTCTCGAAGGCATCCCCCACAAAAACGACAACCCAGATAACGCAGGGCAGCTGTGGCCCGTCGTGCGCGCGCTTGCTCCAAGAAGCAACACTACAAGCGGCAGCCGTCGGAGGAGCTGTGGGGTCCTGGCGCTGTCTCTGACGCGCCCTTCGCCGAGGCATACCCGAATGCCGTGCTCGGCGACGGGTGGGCGGCGCTGACGCCGGACGCCTTCGAGGCATCGAAGCGCAAAGCGGGGGTTCAGGACGACGAGACCTACGTCAAGCACATCCTCGAAAAGCACAGCGGCGAGGCGCGGCACTGGGGGGGGGCGCGGGTGGAGGGATGTGCCTTCTGAACTCGTGGACACTCTCTGCCACGTCAGGTTCTGGCATCACCAGTACGCCCGGAGCGAAAAAGCGCGTGAGCACCTGGCCTGGAAGAACGCTGACAGGGATACGGACTTCCTGGAACTGGCGGAGATGTAGCGGATCCTGGATCTAGATGGTGGCGAGACCGCGCTTCTGAGTCGAAGACGACCATGTCTCTGGCGAGACGTGGTCCATCAGGACTGGACAACTTGTGACTCTGGCGGAGATGTTCAGCTACGGGTGCTGCCTTTGCTCGTGCCACTTCCTGTACTCGTTGCACCTCCGACAACGAGATATTCGCGTCGAGGAAGGGCACAGCGAGTCGCGCACGGCGGAGGCTACTCTCAAGCAGAATGCTCGGCGCCTGCGCCAGCTGGAGACAGGGCGCCATGGCCTGCCCCGGCGCCGAAGGTGAGGGCGTGGCACTGCTGAGTAGCTGCCTCTGGCGATTCTTTCCTTGCAGAACCCTCTGAAGAGCTGCCTCTGGCGATTGCGGATTTTTGCGCGCAGCGCGTCGCTGCTTTCGCGGCTGCCCGTCGGCCGCGCTTTCGCACGCGAGCACGCTTGCCTGCGCGCGGGCAAGGGCGGCGGTGAGTTCGATCCGTCGCGGATTTCCCGCATCAAGTTGTGGTGGCGCGACGAGCGCGCGTTCGAAACGTTCTACAAGCTGTTGGCGCCTGCGGGGCTGAAGGATTTCCTCGACAGAACTCCGACGAATTCGCCTGGTGCGAGAAGGCCGACAACAAAGGCATGCTCATCAGGCGCGGCAGGAGGAGCGCGTCCCGCCATGGGCGCGCCCCGCCATGGGCGAAGTGGACGCAGGCACTGCCTCTGGCGTGCCCCGCCGTGGCGAGCGCGCCCCAACGCGAAGTGGCCTCAGGAAGCGGCCTGAAGCGGCCGAAGGGTGCCCGCCAACTGACCGCCCTCAGGAAGCGGCCCCAGGAAGCGGCCAGAATGCACTGCCTCTGGCCTGCCCCGACAATTCACCGCCCTCAGGGAGCGGGCGGAATAAGAGCAACCCTTGGGAAGACCTTCGCTAGGATATGGTTGCCCGAGACACTGCCTTTGGCGTGGCCGAGTCACTGCCTCTGGCGCGCCCGTGACGCTGCCTCTGGCGCGCCTTCTGAGGCCAAGGCGGCGTCGCCGCAGCTGGCGCCGCCACACTTGCGCGCGGAAAAGCTAGTCGTCGTCATCACCACCATCGTAGTCGCCATCATGACCACCGACATCATGAGCGCAATCAGCGACACCATGACCACCGACATCATGACCATCGTCGTCATGACTACCGTCATCATGACCACCGACATCATGACCATCGTTATCATGACCACCGACATCAATGGCATTATATATTAGCGCTGCGGGTCCTTAATATGATGTTCGGCCCCTTGGTGGACCAGCCAGTCTTCATCAAGAAGGAGCCCCAGCTCGCCGTTTCCAGGTTTGGGAACGGCCAGAAGCAGGTCTCCCAGGAGCGCTGGGCGGTGCCAGCGACGGCGCCCGACGGGGACGCCTACCTGACGTGCTCCGTCATCAAGGACTCGGCGCTGCAGCAGCTGCTGGGCAAGGGCGCGCTCAGGGGCACGGGCGCGGATATCAGTTTCGCGGAGGACGCGTCCAAGTCGGACAAGCCGGGGATCGCGCCCGAGCGCTTGGACGAAACACGCGGCGGCCACTGCGCGACGCCGATCTTCCCGCGAGGCGGCCTGAAGCACCCGACGGGGGGGCCCGTCGA